CCCCAAAACCCCAAAACCCCAAAACCCCAAAACCCCAAAATTTTCAATTTAGTTGATATAAGTTTAGTAAAAATTAAGAACAGTAATGGAGACACATTTGCGCACTTTCATTCAAAATAACTTCTGCGGCTGAGAAAACAAAGAATGCAAATCAAGCTTGAGCAGTGAAGTTGTTAAATTGATGCGAGAAGAAGAGCTGAACAAAGAGACAGTCAAGTCTTTAATCAGTATAACTAGAGGTGCTCCAAAGGTAAGCTCTTTTCAGTTAATATTTAGGGACCAAGGATGATTAACGTAATTTACAGTATGGTCCATCACGTATCCAACAAAAAGCTAGACAAAAGCTTCTTTGATGACCTAGCAGAGTTCTTTATTATCTCTTACATCAAATGAGACGAAGAAGGAAAACAAGCACTCCATCAAGATATGATCCAATTCATTAAACTCATGGAAGACAAAGAAAAAGAGTTTAATCTAGATGATATTGATATAACCTATTGAATGGTGCACTTAATAGCGAGGAGAGTGTATACCAAATCTGAAAATGGCCTTAAAGAATTTAACCCGGAAGATTCAGAGTCTTACAAAAGTTTTCTCAAAAGGAATCTTAAGAAAATTGACACTCACCTTAAAAGCAAAATTGATGGGGACCTCACATATTGGAATGCCTTAAAAGGAAAGAAGAAGTACATTAGGTTCGCAAGCTTACTTTCTTTGTTCACTTTTAGGATGCTCAACATCTGTACCATAGAGGCAGATGAAAAGAATGAGCTTTGAAGTAATCTACTGAGAAGGGTGTGACACTTATCCATATGTGCGGAAAAAGAGGATCTGTACTATCCTATATCTGCACTGTGCTCTTATTTCACTAAAGAAGCCATTGATCAAGAGAAAATATTCAGCTTGTCTGGATCAAGAACTATGTATAAGAGAATGAAGATTTTTGGAAAGCAGTGCATGATGAAATGGGAAACATTCATACACTCTCTTGAGAAGAAGAAAGATGAAAACCACAGCATAACCATGAACATGATCTTAATAACTATTCAAAAAGTTGCGGTACAAAATTGTGACATCGACGCAATAATTAAAAGCACGAGAATATTACAGGATATCTACAATATGCAGATATCAAAGCATAAGAATCAACATCTTGGCCTTTATTCCCAACTAATGTGCTGATTTCTGACAAATTTTAGGAGCCTAAATGAGATGCAGAAGGAGTTTTTCTTCAGACAGATGATGAAGATCCAAAACATCCTATTCGTTCACAAAGCCCGTGCTGAGGTGACTGCCATTTACAAGAACTTGTATTCTCAAAAAGAGACATCAAAGAATTTCGTCAGTCTGAAAGGCATTGCTTCTAAAAGTGAGACAAATTATGGAAAACCAATTTTGGAAAACTTCCTCTTAAACTCAGACATTATGGAAGACCCAAAGCTGATCGTGATTTTATACAAAATGCTGGTACCTTACATTGCTATCTTAGAAAGCTCAGGGATAAAATTTATCAAGAAGCTCAGAGAGTTTCGCTTGGTTAGCTGGAACAAAGATGGAAAGCTAGAGTTCTGACAAAAGAGACTCAAAAAGGAAGATAGCACTTCTAACTGGAAAGATGAAATCCTAAATCTTTGTGTAAAGAATTCTGATTTCTGGAATACCTCCAAAGGCCCCATTCTAATTAGCATAATTGAGTTCATGTATGGACTCGTCAAAGGAGAAATCAGTGGTTGAATAAGATCCCTAACTCTCTTAGTCAACCTCTTTCCTGAAGTTGAAGAGAATTTACTCCCAGCTCTAAAGGAGGTTATTGAAGAAGAGAGTAAATAAGGAAGGAGGGAGCAACTACATTTACACAAATTTCATGATCAGAAGTTTCAAATATTTTAAAGAAAGCAATAGAGAGTTAAAAGAAGATGAACTATTTCAAGTCTTATTTCAACATATGGAAGATCTTATCAGACAAAAGGATATGGCCAAATGGATACCAGATTTCATGTCCGTGTGGATAGAACTAATGAATCGGAACAAGGTAGATATGATCATCGAAGAAGCAAGATTTAACTCAACCATCCAAGTGTTATCAAATTACGATGATTTTCGAAGCATCAACAATGCGTTTCCTTTTACTTTTATCTCCTTTGCAATCATGAAGGCACAGAAGTCTGAGTGAAAACTACAAGATTTCTTCAAGCATTATTACAAAAAGCTAATATCTTTGATTTCAGGTGACGATAGAGACCAATTGAAGTTTCCTACTCTAAAATAACAGAGTGAAATCAGGTAAATTACCAGAGTCAAAATTAGCCAAAGAAGGGAGCAAGCCTGTCATCGATATCAACCAAGGAGCAGAAGAAAGTAAAGAGCAACCCATGGGAGAGGAGAGCAAAGATAGCAGCCATTCAAAGGAAGCGCAGAGACGAAGAGAGATCATCCTTGAGAAGCATTTCACTCAGTTGAAGAATAATGCAATGATAAAGTACGGAAGAATTCGAAATTTTATTGAAAATATCTTTGTTTCCATGCACCCACTGATATATCTGATAAATTCAGATGTATCAGAAGAAGATGTGAAAGCTTCCGATAGGTATACAGTATTCAAGCCAAAATATTGCAATGAATGAGGAGAAGACCTTGAGACTAAGAGCTACTTCTCACTTACAAGTGACTGTGAGCATTGTTTGTATTCCAATAGCAATCTTATCATCCCTGAACATATCCAAAACAGTGTCAGTTGGTATGAAAACAAGTATTATCTAAGAGAGACAACTGAAATCTGAATTCCTGTCGACAGCTTCACCAAAATTAGTTCAAGTCAGAAGAAAAGTCTCAAAAAGATGATTTTAAAACTTCTTGGTGAAATATTCCATACATTCATCGAAGCTGTGGAAGAAGAGGAATACAGAGACTTCTTCTTTAAGCAAGAAGCATGCCTGAAGCGTTTAAAAACGCCTAAAGACTTCTTCCCCATAGTCCTAACGAAATCAGTAAGCTGAGCATTGCAGATCTACTTAAAAATTAAAAGCGAGGAGATTTTTAAAGTACCAGAAGATCTAACTGAAGCAGTGAGAAAGATTGAAAATATATCTGAAAGACTGGCTTCTTCCTTCAAGATGATCCAGAACACTATCCAAGATATCAAGTTTACCCTCAAGGCTGAGGAACTATTCCAAGAGTTTGAGAGCTTAGACTTTGGAGAGGCCAAGGAAGAGAACGGCGCAGCCAAAGACAATTAATATTACCTAAAAACATGTTTTTATTCTTCAATTTTTAGGCCAATTAAGGGGTTTTGGGGTTTTGGGGTTTTGGGGTTTTGGGG